CTGATTTATGTCCTTAGGCGACACATAGTCCCAATACCTCCAGCTCCTTCCCCACCTCCTGCTTTCTCTTGCTCCAGAACTTCAGTTTCTCAGAATCCCATGCTTCAAAGCCTTTTGAACATCCAAACTACTCATTTTCCCTTACCAGTCTGCCTCATATGCTCCTCCTTGCTCTCAGGCCACTCTGCCAGATAGGGCTCTTCCCCAGATCCAACCTACCTGAGCTTCGCCTCTGCCTGCCCCTTATCTTGAATCCTCTGCTACCATGGCCCCTGGCCCCTCAGTGCCCCTTCCACCAGGCTCCCTGCCTCACACGCACCGGCGCCGACTGCTCCAGGCCTCTCAGCTTGGATCTCCAGGGGCTTCTGCAGCTGGCTGGGCTGCGCTGCTCCTCGGCTTTCCGTCACCCTGCCCCTTTTCGCACTTGAAGCATCTTCAAGTATCTGCATCTCCAAACTCTTTTTCCAAGAGGGGAAATCTTTCACTGGATTTTGAGCCGCCTTGTTCTAGAGGGAAAATTAAGATAAGTTAAAAAAAATAGTCTTACTAAGCCACTCAAACTGAGGGCAAAGTGTCTGCGAAAACAGGAACTTCCTCCTCAAATGCTGTACTTGAGCAAAAATGCCCCTTTTCAACACCTGCAACAGTCTGTGCAGCTCATTTACAAATCCCATGGGTCCCTAAAAGGACAGAGCTGTCTCCCATGAGGTCCCGTGCTGTTCTTGCCCATGCTTTGGCAACACAATCTAGGACTGTCCTGTCAGGGAGAACGCAGGCCACAGGTGGTGCAGAGCCTCCTCGGTAAGGAATTTCCCTCTCAAACAAAGTCCTCCTGGAATGATTTATACTCGGGGTGTACCTCTTACAAATGGAGTGCTGTAGGATCATGGTGAGCATCACACACACCTGTCTTGGCTGCCTGCGTGTCCTGTGTGAGGCTTTTCTGTTCGCTCTTTGCCTGATGCGCATCACCTTCATGTGGAAAGAGGAGATAGAAAGGAGAGGATCTTTGAAGGCACATTGTGGCCTGGGGTCACTATAGTTTCTTCTTTATAGCAGAAGAATATGGAGGTTCTGACTCTGTAACTGCTGAGCAGTAAATGGAACAGAGCTGCGATGGTGTAATTATTTGGATTTGTACTTGAAGAGAAAGTACAGCGGGCCTTGGGGGCAAGGAGAGCGAGGAGAGCAAACATAGAACACAAAATCAATCATATTTGCTGCCTTCCTGAAATTTTCTTTAAAGACCGTCATGCCTAGTACTTAGTAGTCAACACTTCTTGCTGTATTCTTGGAAAGCAGACAATAAACTTTGAGCAAATATTATCAGCTGCCAAGTTCAATGGGAACAGACAGTTTGCACTGAAGCTGGAAGTAAATAGAAGTTAATGCCACAGCTGGTTCTTCCTATCTTCCCTGACTGCTGCCTCCTTTCAGAAAAGAAAAAAAGCAGTGGAAAAGGTAACCAGTCATAGCTTGGGTGAGACAGCAGCAAGTTGTGTTCCTTCTCCTCAGCTTCCTAAGGAAAAGGAGACTCAGCTGGGGAGAACACAGCCTGTGATGCAGAGACCTGTCGTCATGGGCATCCGATATACAATCAAACAAGAGAAGGACCTTCTTGACTTTTCACAGTCTGAAAATCAAAAAGAAGAGTTGATTGGAATTTCCTAGGGGAAAAATGTAGATTTGACCACCCTGAAGCATTCTAGAAACATTTCCATTTTACCACCTCTATCCAAAACAAACAAAATAAAAGGGTGGGGAAGGGAAAGCAAATTGCAAAAGCATCTAGCTTTGACATTTTCTTTATTTTCATTTTTAAAAGTATTCAGGATCAAGGGAATTTCTTTAAGATTTGTCAGAACTTCCGACAATATGGAAGATCCGTCGTTTGCATAGTTTTGCCAATAAGATTCATGACATGGGAGGCTTTGTGACGCATTTACCAGTATAAGTTTTGCTAGTAAAATTCTTTTGATTCAAATCCCTTACAATGCTTTGAATACTGTGTGGCTAGTAAGGATATCTGTAGCATTCAGATCTCAGTGAATTTAAAGACTTGTGTTCAGATGATCTATTTGTGTAGATACTGTCACTATAGAAGTACTATTTGTGATCTCACATAGGCAATGCATCGACTAAAGCCTGTCTCAAGCTGTAAGGAACAAGTGTTGTGTACAAATACAGCAACCTTGGCAGGACTCCGTATGGGAAAGCTACTGAGCATCTTTCTGGGGAACTGTTCCAGTCTCCTGTCAACATGAAGAATAAGCTGGTAATACAGGGAGACAAAGATGAGAAGCACATTCCTGTGTGTTCCTCCCAAAGGAACGCTGATGGTAGATGCCACTCTTCCAGGATAGTTGCCCACCCCTAAGCTACATATTAGTTCAGAGGCTCTTATCCCAAAAGGAAGGGACATTCACTTTAAAAAGCCTTCCAGCTAAAAAAATACCTTAACTCCTCAAGATTTACTTAGACACCATTCTAAACTAGTAACGGCAGTAGGATTGGATTCATAAAGAAAAATCTGGTATTCAGAGCTCCAAACAGATTCTAAGTTATTTTAATAGAATCATAGAATCGTTTAGGTTGGAAAAGATCATCAAGTCCAACCATTAATCTAGTGCTGCCAAGTCCACCACTAAACCATGTCCTTAAGCACTTCATCTACCCATCTTTTAAATACCTCCAGGGATGGGGACTCCACCACTTCCCTGGGCAGCCTGGTCCAGTGCCTGACTAACCTTTCAGTGAAGAAAATACAAGGGATGGAAAATTGTCTGGCAACTGTAGAAATAAAGAAAACTTTAACTTGTCAGATAACTTTGTAACAGTTAAGTGTGGCCTGTCAGACAAAAGATTCACTTACCTTTAGACTTCTGCTTTTTAGATGGAGACAAATAGGAAAGATTGTTCTTGGAGCAAACAGTGATTCTCCTTTTTTCTATCTAAAAAAACCTGCATCTAGTAGATTCAGGGGACAAAACCAACAAATCAATGTCTGCAGCAAATCATTCCTAACTTAGTATTTATGTTCCTAAACTTCAGTCTGTCAGTGGTCAGCAAGAGGTATTAAATGAGCAGGAGAGCAGGTGTCTCTTGGGCATCACTGAACCTCTTCGGTGAACGTTACGGTGAGCTCTGCTGCAATGAAAACTTGTACTCAGGGCCTTCTGCTAAGCATTCCCACATTGAGAATGAAAAGATGAAAACAAATCTTCATGGCGCTAAAGTGAATGATAAGACTGGTTTTCAGGTACAGTATTAATAGAAAGTTCTTTTACATTCTTCCAAGTGTGCCTTGGGAAATAGGTGTGCCTTAGCAGAGTCAGAAAAGTCCATTCATAAAGCAACATTCACACATTCAGCATATTTTTTAATGTATTTTGAACCTAAGAACTACATAATTTCTTGGTCATAATTTGCAAGACACCTCAGCATGCTTTAGGTTTTGACAAAATCTGGATATTCTTTTAGGTCTGTACTTTGCCCATAAGGAGAAGGATATTCCTGGTGGGTCAGAGTTCCAGCAGAATTCCAGCAGGACTTGGTCTGGCGGCTGTGAGAGCTCAGGTCCTTCCCCTGGCAGTGCTATAGTGTTAGGAAGAGGTTCTGGATGCCTGTTCACCTATAGGTTGTGATGTTCATTAATTCATTTTATGTGATAACAAAACCTCACAAAATGTCTCCATCCAAAATAAATTCTACATTGTATCTTATGGCTTTCATCAAGTTTATAGTTAAACTCCTGGATAATGGTATTTTCTCTCTATTAAACATATGTTGCTAATCATGGCTATCTTTGCAGTCAACTGTGGAAGCCAAAACCCAATGAAATAAGCAGTTTTCATATGACACTTTTGTTGCACTGAAATGCCTGTCCAGGAGCGGGGAAGGTAATTGTTGAAGATCTCATCACATGTTCTGTGATGGCAAAACAGTTTCTTCAGTCACAGGCAAATGGATGCCTGCAGCATCAGTTCAGATTTGCAGACTGCAACTAGATTGTCCATTGCATTTTTGTTGGACACAACACTCCTTCAGATGCCTTTTTAGAAGAAAAAAGTTGCTAAGGACTGTCCTGATTTCTGAAGATTAAATTAAGTCTTCAGTGTTAACAAACAAAAGGTCTGCAACTGAAATGCTGATGGGGACAGTGTATTTAGCTCTTTGTCTGTTACCTTGAGGTTGGTATCTAAACCTAACTGCAATACTTAGTTTCTGCTGCAGGTTAATACAGCCAGTTTTTCCGAGATTCTTGCTACTTCTTGGTTTGACAGCATCACTATGTGCCGGCCTCCAGTTTCTCAAATCCTTTGATGTAATGAGATTTGTGGATATAAGTAAAATTCACCACCCATTCAGCTGCTCTTGCTGGATCTGGGCTGGTCTTCTGACTGTTTTTGTTTGCACCTGAGTTCAGTGAGCAAATACCTGAAGTTCAGTTTGGCTCTGCTGTGTCAGCACTCATGCAGGAGCGACGCATCCCATGTCTGTGAGGTCCCTGGTCTGAAGAGTGACCTGGCTTGCTCCATACTCAAAGCCATGGTGATAGCCTATATTAAAAGAGAATTAGTGATCCAGGTTTTTGGTTTTGTTATAGCCTGAGTTAAGAGAAAAGTATAGTTGGATAGTCTTTTTTTTTTTATTGATTACCATGATGACCTGTATGTCTGAGATGCAGTTTTCTTTCTGATGTGTAACACTACACCGAATTAGGAACCACAGGATTGCCACTTCATCGTTGTATTCTTTCAGTTTCTTTGCATTCACTAATGCAGAGAGGGAAGCCTTACTGCATTGTTTGAAAACTGGAAGAGTCTGGAGCAAACCTGTTGTTGTTGGGGCTTGTTTTCTTGCCAGCCTTGATGGAATGAACTTCTACTAACTGCCCAGATAAGGAAAACCTATCAGTGCAAGATTGATGGGTATGCTAATACAGAAAAACAATGTACAAGAAGAGTATTTCCCATTCATGCGTTTTCCATTAACATGAGGCTATCAAGGTTGCAAAAGAGCTTTGGGTGGGAGTGGTTGTAAGGAGCACTGAGGTCTCTTACTGTCTTTTCTGCCTATTCCTTGTGAGTTGATAAACTCTCTTGGGCTTAGCATTTTGCCCTCTGTATTCATGGTTAGTTTAGACTATGGACTAGCGACCTGAGTTTCGGAGCTGATACATGTCTGCCGCTACCTTTGAAGTGAGCAGGATTTAGGTATGTTGATGGGTATTCAGCATCTGCGAAAGCGAAGCCACTTATATGAGTTCTTAAATTCCTAGGTTGGTGTGCCTGAAGGAAACAGTACAAGTTTGAAAATGTTGACTTTAAAATATACTTTGGTTTCCAGTCTTGTAAGTAGACAAAATAAATTTCACACCACATGGGGTACCCAGGAACTTAATTAAGGTGAATTAACTGTTTTAAAATCTTTGCAGAACAGAAACTGCAAGGTGTGCGCGGAATAATAACAACATGTGTATGTTCATCAATGAGAACTAGAGTTTTGGATTCTAGGTATAAGAAATGCTTTCGGGATAAGGTATGGATAAGTTTATCTCAGCTTTTGCCATGACATCAGCCTGCCTGGTCATGGTTAACGTTATTTTAGCCTTCCCTGACCAGGACCCACTACTGTTAATTGAACACAAGATGATCATAATAGCCTTGCTAGGGACACTGTGAACCACAGTGTGTAACTGAATAGTGTAGTGCACTGTGAAATAAGGACTATGATAAGAGAGTGTTTCAGATATAATGCAGAGCGTTTCACATGGTAATCTTGAGTTATCCAAATAGCAAACATGTAATAATGCAAGAACAGGAGAAACTTCATCTTGCGAAAGTATTACACACATTTTTAAATCCTGCCTTCATCGTAGTGTTTCACTGAATTGCATTTTTATTAATATTTGGAAAAGTCTTCTGCGTATATGCAGTGATCATTTCCATGTTTTTCATATTTTAGAATGTATTTTAAAATTTTAACAGTACTACTCAGTGCAATATGAAACACAAATATAATGTAATAAAGAAATTTTCTTTTCAAAACCTAAAAGGTAGCGATTCACACCAAAACTTAAAAAGCAGAATTGGCTCCAAGAAAACACATCAGTTTAAAACACGCATATCTTGAGTCACTGTATTATCTTTACTTGGCTCACTGGAAGAGCTCTCAATATAGACGAATTAGATACTTTGAGTGAAAGAACCCATCTCCTCTTTGCCATGTGAGAGTTCCCTGTGCTTTTGTAGAGACTGTGCTGGCTATTAAGTTCTTACTAAACTTTTATTAAGGGCTTCTGTTCATGCTACTTCCCATTTTAAACATGTAAAAATACTAAATATTTTTTAAGCATTCCCATATAGCAGTGCTGCTCCTTCTCAAGAAACAGTAGCTTCTCAGATTGTTTAGCTGAAAAAGTAATGTTAAGGATAGTTGCAGCTGCCAAAGTCTGGAAACTCAGAGTTACATCTGACATTTCATTCTTCACCTTAACTATTGAGCCTTGGCCATTCATTGGTTTTTCACAGTGCTTTGGAGTTAGAAGGGAGTTTTACAGATGAAAGATGAAAATCAAAATAAACTCCTTTATCAAGTAAACCTTGCAAGGGCATTCTGAATTTTACAATACACAGGGAGTTGATTGTGATATAACATACAACACAAGAGAGTTGGAATAAACAATTTATTCTCTATCGTTAGGGATGGCCATGCATAACTGACTTATGGCTCTGGTTTGCTCTGCCACTTGTTACGTGTGCAGTCATCCCTAACTCATACCAAAAATAGTTTATCATACTCCTGTGTTGCATCATTTTTATCAAATGTTCTTTCATTAAAAACTTTATCGGGGACATTGAACATTTCAAGACGCTGGCAATGCTTACGAAAGCTTTCCCCAGAGCTTGGTCTCACTGAGTGGAGTCAGTGCTGACAGTGATCATGAGACGGTTCCCAATGTCCTGCACAGATACAGTCTGGTGGGCAGGTAACAGTCATCGTTTGACAGTACGTAGGAGGTTCAGCGCAGAAGTCAAAGGCTGGCTTGTCAGAAGGACTGAAGGACTGCAGGGGCTCCCCCCAGGTCGGGAGCAAAGCAGGGGGTAGGACAGCGTGGGAGAATATTGCAGTGGCACTGCCCCTGGAGTGAGGGTTTCATTTCCTCCGCTGTCAATTCAGGACCTTCCCTGAGCCCTAAATCCATTTAAAAACAAACAAGGCCATCTGCCAGATAATTCCCCAGCCATCCTCGTGATAGATGTATCTGCAGTCTGTAGTTGTCTTTTGGATAGCCATTTGAAAGGTTTTATTCCTAAGCATCGTGTGGATCGAGCCTTCAGCTGCGTGCTCCCTTCCTGAAGGAGGTTCTTTTTGAGTAGTGTGTGTCTACAGCACAACATAGTTCATTTTGCCCAGTCTTCTGAAGAGAGAATGCAATCCTGGTACAAATCTAAACTGGTGGGTCCCCAAAACTGTCTAGGCAATAGTTGGAGCTAAGCCACTGGTGTGCCTCGTGGTAAAGCACCCGCTGCCGGCGTGCACTGCTGAGATTGGAGCTCCTGGGCGGTGGTTTTACCCCACGGCGTGCAGTTGTGGTGGTGGGCTTTGGTTCCTGGCATTCTGTACCTTTCTTGGCCAGGAGTGTTTGCTGCAGACTGACACACAGATTGCTACAGTGATGTTGCCGTGCTTGGAAAAACGTTGGTGTTTGGCAAAGGTGCTTTCCATCAAATGCATGGTCTCCCTGCACATGCGTTCGTATCGATGCATTTTTTCCAGGCTATGTCACCTTCCTGCTTCACGGGAACATTTTGAGTGTAGACCTTTATTTCAGCATTATCACACCCAAGCTTAGTATAACCGATGAAAGTTCAATTATATGCGAAGTGACTATTAAAGCATCAGGGCTCATCTGGGGGTCTGAGCCTCCCCTCCCCTTTTCACTTCCAATTGTGCTAAATCCCTTAATGTTGCAAAGAAATCGTACATTCATCAGGTGGAGTGTTGGAGGCCAGGGTGCAGATAACCGCTTTTACTGCATATGAGACATTGCAGTCCTGTTCTTAAGAACTGCCAGGCAGATTGGGAATCACGGTCACGCTTAATAGCAGCGAATTGCCAGCTCTTGATGGGTGGGTAGTCACTCCTTTCAGTGGTTGCCCCCTGGGGGAGAAGGTAGAAAAACAGAGGGAGGGAATTAGAGTGACTTTGCACAGTTGAGCAGGTTCATGCCGCTGGATCAGTGGCAAGCACTGGCAGGGCTCCACTCTGGGGAGGCTCACAACAACATCACAGTCTCATTTTTACCAATTGGTGTTGCTATAGCCAGTGGTGCACAGGGGGAGAGCAAAGAGAAGGGGGGGACCCGGGGGGGAGAGTGAAAGCAAGAGTCTGGATTAAACAAACAAAAGTGCTTGTAAGTAGCATTTAACCCATAACCATTAGCCCAGTGCTGCTAATTGTACTAAACTATGTATCTGAAGTTCAGTGTGTGATTAAAGAGTTGGCTCACAAACTCTCTGCATAACCTTAATTTTTTCAAGGTTCTTTGAGTGTAGAATGGCTTATAATAATGATTTTGACTAATACGATTTTTGACATGCAACTTTAATGCTTAACCTTAGTACAACTCCAGAGCATTTCATGTGTATTCAGCTGTAAAGAGTGATGATTTAAAGGGATAATATAAGAAAAAGGTCGTTCTAGAATGAACCTCTAACAAATTGCATAAAGGAAGCTTATTATTCCATGAGTAGAGAGATATGCAGCTTTTCTGATCATTTTTCTGCTTGGTTCAAAAAATTGTTGAGACATGATTGGGGAAAGAAACACAAAAAATGAAATAGAAAACTGCAAGCAGTGAACATTCTTTTGATGGTTATGATTTTGTTGCCACTAAAAATACTCCTCAGTAATGTGGTTGTTCATCTTTCCTCTTGTTTTGGGTGAAGAATTCGTTCCAATAAGAAAATGCTGTTATTGGTTGGAGGATTGCCTCCCGGACCTGACCGGCTACCCAGCAATTTGGTTCAGTATTATGATGATGAAAAGAAGACATGGAAAATACTGACAAGTAAGTGGTTTATTTTTGTACAGTTGTCTTGATGAATTTAAAAACATGGTTAATTAAATTAGACACTTTATTGATTTGTTTCTCTTCAGAGGTTTGTTTATGTATCACAGGGGGCTTCACAATGGAGCAATAAATTGAGATTGCAGAAGATGCTAATTTTATAATAGGATAGGCCTAAATTAACATTGGCTTAAAATCATTCCAGTAAGTTTTTTAAGTAAACTTGTAAGTCTTTCATACTGCAACATGAATACATGCATATTTATGTACATAGGAATAAAATCTGGTTTAGGGAAAAAAAAAAAGGCAATGTTCGAGACAGTTTTCTCAGACTCAGATCCCTGGTAAGCCATAGTACTAGAGCACACCTTTGATTCTCTTTTTGCATTTTCATTTCCTTCTTCCAGCTTTATCTGTTGTCCACAATCATTAAAGAAAGGTTTCCTCTGTACTGCTCTGCGTCCATTGCTGACAGAAGCATTGGTGGAATATATCAGCTACAAAAAACAGTGCACGGAGGCGCCTATCACAAAATTCTTTCCCACCTTCTTTTAAAGGTTGATTGTGTTTTAGAGTAAGTATTCTGCCTCGAGCATCGAGATTTGGAACTTATTGTTATGTTGGTTGCGATTCCCAGTCTGACTTGGTCATGGAATCAAATCATAGCTTCTTGAGTGCAGCAGGCTGTGTGTGCATTAGTCCCCTTGTGGCTAAACTGGCTGCATTGGTCAATAAAACTAAATTTTAACTGTCAAAATTGCCCAAAGCAGTATAGATAAAATAATAAATGAGCAATTTTGATCCATAAATCAAAGCCATACTTCTAAAACTGGACAACTGGTAAAACCTGGATTTCCTAATAGACCTGCTTTTTTTCCCCAGTAAAATACATTTTACAGAATTCTGTTCTTCATCCATTATCCAAAGCCCTTTAATGGGATACATCCACATTAATATCGTATGCACAGGTTAGGATGAAAAATAATTAAAAAGACTGCTATGATGCAGGACTTGAAATGATGCCTTTGTAAATTGCTTTCTCCCACGGAAAATTTAGGAGCCTTTCTGAAAGTGCTGCAACATAAAAACTGCTTAGGTATAGGTGCCCTGAACTAATAGTTGAGGGTATTGTGTAAGAATGGCAGTTACAAAAAGTCATATGAACTGTACATCAGAAAAGTCTCCAGCATCTGTACTAGGGAACATACTTTGCTTCACATTTTTCAGAATAATAAGATACAATATTCACCTCTGTACGCTACTTCTAAGAAAATTTTGAAGATGGTAAGTCAGTGAAAAAGCAATGATATTATGTAAGGCAGAAATGTCCAGGATTTTTTAATTTGCTGTGTCTAACCCAGTGGCTCACCAGAATAGGCAGGAGAAATGGATCTCTTGCTTCAAGGTCTGAACTCTCCACTGAATTGAAGTAAAAAACTTTATTCTGAGTCTTACCTTTCTGTAGATGTCTCAGATTTTGTAAGAATGAAATTTATTCTGTTCTTAGTTACTTACGTTGTGATGCTGTCTCCAAGACTGTGGGAAACTGGACCCAGAGGCATGATACCTAAATGCTCTGGTTAAAAATCCATTGCTAGTATTTGAATAACACCACTGTGTATGGTGGTGTTGAGAGGTGTTTCTGAATAATTTTATGTAATTTTATCAAAAGAATGTAGTCTTTTCTGTGTTACCTCTAACAAATAGTAACAAATAGTAAACAAAAATTCTCTTTCCATTCTGGTTAATGCACATAACCTTCTGTGCTGTGATTAAAAGATAATGCGTCTGTTACAGTCCTAGCTAGCTCATGTTCAAGCACTTGATGCTCAGCACTGGAAGTCCTGAAGGTCCTAGGATCTGTTTCAGTGTCAGCTGTCTAATACACAGCCCTCTCGTGACATGAGTAATCCTGTTCTTACCAAAACTGCTAGAAAAGGATGCCTTCTTGGCCTGGACTACTGTTCGAGGATGTCTTTTCACACTGAAAAAGACTAAATGTTAATAAGCGTGATTTCTTAGAATTACTACTCACCAAATGGTAGCAATAATTATTTTTTTAAAAAAGTTGAAACAAGAGTTTCAAGTATCCCCTGCTTTATTTTCTAACTTGATATAAGAGAGGATGGGCAGTGGAGGCAAATTGGAGTAGAACTTCTGTCCTGTCCTTTCCATAAAACACTGAAGGACTATACAGCATAGGAGTGCAGGGCTTTAAGAGCTGTGACGGAGCAGTTTTAGGGAAGACCACAAACTAATCACATTATAACATGGTGATAGTTCAGTGCAGTCATGGTGGTGTATCAACATACTATGACATTTACGGTGTGTAGGAATTTACGGACATTGTTCTGTCTTTATTTTTCATATATTTTTTGCAAGTTAGGAAGAAGTACATTTATTTCCTTCCTTTACCCTTTTACCTCTCTCCCAGTCCATCGTTTTGGAAAATGATTGGTGTGTTTATTCTTATCAGAGATGTACAATCCGCAGCAAAAGAGGAAGATTTTTTTCTTTTCTGTTTCTTTTTCACTTGTTTAGACAGTGCTGTCAGCTCTGATGTTGCAGTTCACCCCCAGCTCATCAGTGCAAATGAGGAGTTTGCTCCCTAGTGAACGGGGACAGAACAAAAGCCGTGTCCTGCTCATAAGGTTCTGTGGTGGGAAGAATCTTAGTCCTTGTAGTCTGGTATTTTAGGGTGTTCTATCTTCCTATCACCTTAGGTCTATTTGATTTCTTCCTGTACTAGCAAATGTTTACAAAGACTTTTCTTTACCCTTCTGCCCTCCAGTAGACTCCCCCATGCACCAACAAAAAGGCAGGCTTTGCACTTAGAGGCTTAGTGGTCCAATGTAAATGTGCACAGAAATTGCCCTTTCCCTCCTCCAAACCTATCTACATTACTCATTTTCTGCTTTCTGTGCCAGTGGCATTTGGGGGTAGGGAAGGTGGGAAAGGAGCTTGCAAGCACTTAGTCCTGGGTGCAGTGGCAAGGCCGTTGAGGAGGAGATGGATGAGAGGAGACTGAATCTCCTCTTGTCACCCTCCACTGAGAGGAGGCCCAGAAGTTCCTCAGCAGGGCCTGCAAACCTGTTTGAGAGGAAGCTGTTTGCCTCTTGCCTTTTTCCTTCTCAGCATGGAGAGTGGCTGTTGCAACCACTCAGTTGCTTAGGGCTCTGTGTCCTGCCTTGTGTGATGCATAAGGAACAGGAGAAGATCAACCATCAGAAACTACTGACTCCATGTAAGCCGTGGCACTGCAGTTGGAGCTATGAAGACAGTTGCAGGTGGAACAGCACAAGCTATCGAGTATGACAGCTCGGCAGAGTAGCAATCTCATTTTGTTCCCGCGACAAGACTAGATCTATTGGCAGGGGATACTGCCCACCTCTCTCTGCCTGGCTAGCCAAAGCACCAAATGCATCAGTACTAATGGGAGTAATTCTAAAGGTATCAGGAAAACAACTTGCCTTGTTCATAGATCCAGAAGAGGAGGGGAAGCATGCACCCATTTCCAATTTTTTAATGTCATCATCTATAGGCAAGAATGCTATGGCTCAAGGGATCGGTAGATTTTTCACAGTCTAGTATTACTGTGTATTTTTCCTGCCTGGTATTTCTCAGAGTTATTTTTTTCTGTGTTGGCAACAAAGAAGAGAGACAGAATAAAGAAAGAAAAGAAGAAAGTACGTGGCATTTTACAAACATTTTCTGCCACCTAATTTTACTTGATGTGGGCACAACCCTAATCTAAGATTCGTAATGTGCCCGTTGCTGTTTAATTTGAAACACTACTTATTGCATAGTTGTGCCTGAGAAAAGTAGAGGCTTTTATAGACTGTATGGCAAAGTACAGTGAACAGCACTGCGTGGTTTCTTCTCAGGCTTGCCTACACGTGCACGAACACCAGTTCATTTTTTAACTGGGTGCTACCTATGTTACATGGCAGCAACAGGCTACCACTGCCAGTGACACAAACCGAAGGGCTGATGGGTGTTTGATGGTCCTTAGTAACAGCAAAAGTTCTGCTCTATTAATGGGATTTCCTTGTGCCACGGTATTTCACAGTCCTCATATCTACTTACTGGATGTGGGGCAGTGGGGGGGTGTCTCTGTGTCACCACCTCATGCCTCACTGCTCAGAACCAGTCACTGCTGCTTCGGGTTTAATTACCAGCTACGGTCCTGCCAGGAGTCCTTGTTTAATCCTAGAACTCCTTTGGTTGTTTGTTTTAACTGCAACGTTTAAGATTAATTAAACTTTAAGGAAATGAAACAATGTTTTGTTTGTTAGAATTATTCTATAATAATTGCAAGTTTCAAAATCCAGAGCCTATAAAGATTTTTTGTGTTCAGAATTGCATAGCTCTCCCAAAAACCCTACTGCTAAGGCAATGATGTATTACTTTCACTTTCATTATATGTTTTTAATCAGAGCGTGACTTCACACTAGACAAAGCGATGCTTTATGCATGGTCTCCCTTGTTTTTTGCTAAAATCTTTTGACATGATTAATTTTACTTTAATGCTTTTGTCTTGTTGTAATGGTAAGGATGATGGGTATAAACCAGGGCAAAAAATACATGCTTTTCTGTCATAATGTCTCTAAGCATTTAAAAAATATATTAAATGAAAGAAAAAAATATCACAAGAGACTGATCCAACTGGAATTAAATTTCTTGCTACATGAACAGAGAATGCAAGAAATAAATAAAAATGATGCAGTCATTGTTTTAGGGTTTTTTTTCCCCCATAGCAATGTATCCATCTGTCTGATTAGAAGCAATGAGTAGGAGAGAAATTGTGTCTTCAGATTTCTAGGTATGCAGTGAATCCTCCCTTCAATGCAAAATTCCTTTTTCTCTAAAGCACAAAAAGGTGAAATATTGGAAACGTTACTGAACTCTTACATGGCACGTTCCATCCATGTGAAGCTGCAGCTGCAGCAGATCTTTCTTTCATATCAGTACTTTGTTTTTCAGTAAGATGCTAATTGTAA